TGGCTGGGGGAGGGTACCCTGACCCTCTTGTGGGCTTCCTTACATCTTAGTTTTCTCTAATTATATGGCAGCGGATATCTCCATGTTCTAGAATTTTCTGGATAGAGGGATACAAACATTAAATACTGGGATTATAAATGACGCATGACATGTTTTTAATTAAAATATGGACCACACAGTCTGTACCAACTGATTTTCAGATTCTCGGATGTTGCCCGGTCATTTCCACATTGGTTCAAGTGACACAGACAGAGGAAGAGAAAGCTATGGGACAAAGTATCATCTGATTTATTCTAGCACAAAAGGGCTTTGTATCCTCAATTAATACTTAGCTTGTGCTTTGTCATATTCCAAAAATGGGGTCTGAATCAGGAACCCTGGTCCTGAGTCTCCAGCATTTAGAGATGCTACTGTGCATTTTGGAGAGGGGCTATGTTTCTCACTCATGCTATGTGGGAGACTATATAGTCACTCCTTGACTACAGTCTTCTAAGCCCTGTTCCATGAGATCCATCTTGACTCCATTGGAATTTTCGAGCTGCATGTATAAGCCTGGTCTGGCTCTGGAAGTCTGTGTTGTCATGGATCATCCCATTTTTGTCACACTCTCTGGAAAAGGGATGTGTACAAGGTCCTGGCAGAGTGGTGGTTCACAGTTTCATGAAGAGGCGATGTGAAAGTTCGGGGGCCGGACATTGAGATGAATGTGGGAAAAGGCTCTTGGCAGGTGGATATCACCTATAACTCGTTCACACCCCTGACTTGAGAGGGTCCTGAGAGCCATGGCTTTTCAATGTCTCTCCTAGATGCTTTGGTGCAGAAACAGGCTTTTTGTTTGGGGCCACAGACCCCTAGTGTTTGATGCAAAGCAGTCATTTTCAAAACTGATGTTTTAAGCCATGGGACTCCAACTTCAATGACAACTTTGGCAGGTGCTTTATATGATAAGGCAAAGGTCTTCCTCTTAGAGCTGGGGACCTCTGGGGCAGACATTTTGCTACGGTCTGTCCTGTGTTTCTCTGTTCCCTACCCACCAGATGTTAGTGTTATTCTTTCCCCAGTTGTGACAATCAAAACTGTCTGAAGATAGGGACAACTGTCCCTTGGGAGACAAAGTTACCTCCTCTTGAGGCTTTTGCTGTTAACATCCTAATGTGGAGGCAATTAACATAAGGTAAGGGAGAAAACCCAAGTACAGCATTTTGGTATCTCTCTACCCTCTCCTCCTTGTCCTTGATTGGAACAGGTGACACTGGGGGACTGAAGGACTGTGGGTCCCCTACTTGTCATGCATGCTACCACCTTCCCAACACCACTCTGAGAGCCCTCTTCCCTCCCAACCCCACAGCAGGCTTTGCGAGACATCTGTGGGTAGAACCAGTCTAGCTCCTATCACGAATCCCCCACAGGCTTTATTGAGGCCCTGACCTTCCTTTAAAAATGCATACTTATTGAACTGGAGTACCCAGAAAAAGTGCCAGACATGAAGAACCCTATGTACCGACACTAGGTTCTGCCCTCCCCACTTGGCATTAACGAACCCATGCCAATTGTACTCTTACCTCATCTCCTTCACTTATTATACTTTGTAGATCCAGCCTTTTCTGCTGAAACTTGTGGCCTTCTGATAGCAGCCAGCAGTTACCATAAGTGACCTCCCTTGTTTGGTACCAAGCTGTGAGTCATGGAAGACTTGGCAGGCCCTGGCCAATGTCATTTGCAAATGTCAAGGCTGCACCTTCTCTGGCACGCTTCTCCTCTGTCCTGCTATCACCCACCATGGGTGTTTTGTTTCTTTTAAAAATATGCTTATTTAAATATACATTTATTTTTGCAGCTGCTGCTGCTGTTGTTGGTAGTTGTGTGTGTGTGTGTGTGTGTGTGTGTGTGTGTGTGCCTGTGAAGACAACATATTTATCAGAGTTAGTTCCCCCTTTTCATCTTGTGTATTTCTAAAGACTAAATTCAGATCGTCAGACCCAGTGGCAAATGTCCTTTATTTGGTGACTCACCAGTTGTTTTCCTAGAAGTCATAAATGATAGGTTTCCTGTCCTTCTACCTTTCTGCCATAATGGGTCATTAAAATCAATGATGACCCTACTCTTCTGCTTTTTTTTTTTTTTTAAAATTAATTATGGCCAAGAAATGACAACTTTTAGCAGAAGCATGATTCCATCTGTACTCGAAAAACAAGGAAAGACTTCTCATGTAATCCCCATGGTTTGTGTCTTCCAAGGACTGCTATGTATCCAGTCCTACAAGGGCTCTTGTTTGTTGTTTATTTTTAGTATTTTGCGGTACTGAGATTGAAGTTAGGGTTCTCAGATAATATTGATGAGTAGTGGAGCTGTACCCCTAGTCCCAGGAACACTCCACCAAAGATACTCCTTCAATTTTCATGTCATTGTTACGAGGCAGACATTTTCTTACCCCCATTTGACAGCTGAGAAAAGAGAGGCACGGACAGGTGAAGTGGCGTGGACAGGGTGTCATTGGTGGGGTGTTCCTGGGGCTAGGATTAGCATTCTGGCAGCCTTGCTCCAGGCAGGGGTTCGCAACCCTTTTTTTCTATAAAGGGCCAGAGAGTCAATCCAGTCCTTGCAGGCCATACGGTTTCTACAGTGATGATTCAACTTTATAACTTTAAAGTAGTTATAGATGACAGTGAACAGATATGAACACAGAGATGTACATTTCATCTAATACTTAGCAGTCACAAAGTTTGTTTTTCCTTTGATTTTTTTTAAACGAAATCTGAAAATGAACCTCAGTTTTGAAGCTATGTGTACAAACTGTGGGCTGAGTTTGGCCCCAGCCCGTAGTTTGCTAATGACTGTTCCAGAGGCCTGGCCTCTCACCACTCTGCGATGTGGCTGCAGTACTGCTGTTCCCTGACTGACGAGCCCTCAGAGGCAAAAGGGGACGCTGGAGGATGTTATTTAATTTCCGGGGTGTCGGGGGTGGGGGGGGAACGCCACACAGATGCTTCACACACTTGCCGCTTCTCAGTGTGGGGCAAGTCCAGGAAGGGTCCGTTTGGAAGCATAAGTCACGAAGGCTGAAATGAATGAAGTTTCAGGACACAATGACTGGCATCTCTACAATCATCAAAACACATTTATGGAATGCTAACGGGGCCAAGAAAGCGATTTCATTTATTTAAACAATTTGATTGATAGCTCCTTGTTGGAAACAGAACCGTGCAGGAAGGTGGGCTCCCATGAACGAAGAGCATGCTGTATAAACACTGAGATCTACTTGGTATTTGACATGGCCCGTGGCCCAGGAATATCTACTGGAGAGGCTCAGTGGCACAGGTGGTCCTATTCCTCTTGGCTTTCCTTTGCAGCTGAAATGTTGTCAGCGTTCCTACCGTGGTGAGACCAGGGCATGAAAACTGCCTTGAAACCATGAGGCTTCCAGAGAGAAGGCGTCAGAATTAGAGGCCAATGCCAACCTGGCCACCTGGTCAATGTCCCCAACAAATGCCAGTGTCTCTGGCTGCTCCACAGGGGCTCTGGGAGAATGTGTTTCCAAATGGGCTCTTGGCATACCTTGCCACTGTGCGGCTCTGAAATGCTGCCAGAAGTCCTGGCAACCGCAGGCCCCTTGCCTTCTTGGCTCCAGCTGGACTGGGTGGCAGATGGCGGAACCACTGGTGTGGTCAGACTAGGGAGGAGCTGTCTGGGGAAAAGTCGATTTTCTGGCTAGTGTGCCTTAGGTAACTGCATTCTTTACTGAAATGGTACTGAGACTTTTTGTATATTGCAGCCTCTGGATACTAAGGAGAGGGAGACAGGTTCCAGGAGTGTTGGGGTGGATTATTTCCCAAGATCTTCTGGTACCCCATGGAAAGTCATCTTTCTTGCAATATTAGAGTAACAAAAAGGTCTTGGTAATGAACAGTACAGGGGTTTTCGACTTGGGCACTCCAAAATCAGCAGTGAGGAAATGCTGGTGCCTTGTCAAGGAATTAACAAAAATTGGACCCATACTCATGACAAGCCTTCTCATCATAGCAATAGTCTTGAGTTTCTTTGTTTTGAGCTGGAGTTTAAGCACTGGACCCATTAAAACTGGTTTGTGTCTATTGATAAAGAACTTCAATTAACAGTGATTTTTGTCTCTGATTAATCTTAGAATATGAATTAATTATTACTTAATAAGAGTTATCTTGCTGGACACAGCCCTCTTTAAAATCGAGATCTCTTGAGGGAAAGCTCTAGATCTCCATGATGGAAGCAGGAGGAACTGCTGTGGTATGGTACCTCTCCTACAAAGAAACAAGAGACAGAAATTGGTTAAAGTGCTTGCTTAATGTGCACTCAAGTCTCAGCGATTTGACAGAGCTTGCTTCCCAGAGTTTCCATGTTATACTCTTCATACCACTCCTACCATGGGTCCCCTGAGTCGTTAGGGGGCCCCACCTCTGGAGTGACTTTTCTGCCCAGTCCAGTCTGTTGGTTTTCTTGAGCTCCAGATGGAATGGACTGTGGTCATGCAGATGGAGTGGTCTGTGCCCTGGTGGGTCCATGTGCCATGTGTATGTCTTTCTCCTCATCTTGTCTGCCCAGGAGTCATGCTCTCAGACAAGCCACACCTCCCTTCCCCCAAGAACACGTCATTTATGTTGTATTGCTGTGCAGGCATTAAGAAAATAAAAAAATAAAAAAAAAAAAAAACAGAGTCTAAAAAGAGCCTGACCCTAGAAAATCCTAAATAGGAACAAGAAGGAAGTAAATTGAATAAAAAATTTGGGGAATGGATTTGAAGTGTTCTGGAGTGAGAGATGGCTGCTGAGCAACCATCCTCAGGCTACGCACTTAGAAACTGTGAATCCTTCATTTCCGTCCATCCAGAGGGAGAAACTGAACTCAGAGTTAATTGGTGATTTGTCAGAAGTCACGGCTCCTGCTCCAGGCTTCAAGCTCATGTCTGACCGTAACGCTGGCACCCCGCCCCTGGATGCAGTGCCCTGACCTTTCCTCTCTTCCTGCAGACACATAGAGAACTGGCGAGGCCTGCACACACTCAACGCCGTGGACATGGAGCTCTACACGGGACTCCAGAAACTGTGAGTACACTGGGGTGGCTTGTCAAGGAACAACTGGGAGGCTGCCTGTCATCTTTGGTGGTGAAGTAGCAGTAATCGGAAGTCTTCTGTCTCAGTGTTTTCCTCAGGAATCTTCTTTGGGGATGGTTGGCATCACCCATCTGGGGATCGTCAGGGGCCACCTTAGTCGGTACAGGCCTGGGGGTTCCCTGAGGTTAGGGTTTCAAGGCAGCCTTGCCTCCGTGCCTGCTGGGATCGTGTTCTTTCTTCAGTCCCGTGCTTGGCACAACCCTACACCCCATCCCCAGGGTTCGATTCTCACTCACTGCTGGGGTCAACTTCAGTGCTTTAGACATGGGGGAGTGGGTGCGAGAGGAAGAGACACAGGAGACTGCAATCTTCTTGTCTCTGGAGTAACAGGAGCCCTGATCCATAACTGCTGGTCAGAATGGGGAGTGACTAGCTGCCATCAATGATTGCTCATATTCCAGTCTCCACCTAGTTCACCAAAGGAACTGGGCTCATGCCTCTCACTGAACCTCAGTCGGCCATCTAGGGTGACTAGTGATGAGGAGAGCTACAGCCCGCTCACAGGGCTTGTCTTCCTTTGGCTGTAACCCCTGGGATTTTGCTGAGCTTCTTTTCTCTCTGCGTAGGACCATCAAGAACTCTGGACTCCGGAACATTCAGCCCAGGGCCTTCGCCAAGAACCCCCACTTGCGTTACATGTGAGTAGAACTGGATTTTGGGAGAAGGTGGGGGATGCATGCATGGAGATAGCCTTGGACAATGAAGCTGGCTTTGATATTTGTCGTCCTCGGCCAAATCCTCTTACTTTCTTAGGCCTCCAGTATTACCTCCTTAGCATGGGCATTTGGGATTTGGTCATCTCAAAGGTTTTCAGTAGAAGGAATCCAGGGCTGAGTGGGAGAATCTCCAGGCTTGCAAGTTTGTACCTTTTTTATAATGAAATTTTCAATTTTATGGGAATGTAAATGACAGGGACTTACTGTGGACACGACTCTTCTGGGAGTACGTGTAGGATTGCTGGTGTGTATATGTGTCAATGTTGGGGATTACTGAAAAAAGGAAAGCAAGACCAAACCAAGTATAAGAAGAGTCTAGATTCAATACAGAAGGACTTTGAGAACTGGAAACATTTGCACGGGTCTTGATGTGGGATGAAACAGTGGACACATGGTCATGGGCATATGCCTCCCTCGCTCTATGTCTCCTTCTTGCCATGGAATGGATCCTTTAGGCAGTGGCTCTGGACAGACCTTGCAGGAGTGGAATCATCCACGTGGATGCTTCTTCTCCAGGTCTAGATCTGGGTAGGTAGACTATGAGATTTGGAGGGAGGACAGTCAGTTCTTGTGAAGCAAGGGAGCATGAAAGAAATTCTATAGAAAGTGAACAAGGACAAGACATTTGACAGCTCTGCAGGGGTAGACTTGTCTGGGCCGGCTCTTCCCCAAGAACAGCCTTGTGGATCTTCAGTGGGTATACCCCAAAGAGCAGAGGGTATGCACGGACTGGATGGCGTGGGCTCTGATGCAAGTGGGATGGAAACAGAGGTGGACTAGTCTTTCTTTGAGCCGCTGTAGTTGGCACTTGATAATAGAAGGCAACTTGCTGGGTAGAGATCTCTTATAAAGAAGAAGAGATGGTAAGGGATGCTATGAAGAAGCGGCACACGGGGATGCAGGGGTCAGAAGAGATCCTGACCAATTGTGGCTGGGGAGTGGTTCCTTTTTGAGGAGGTCTCCGCTGTACTCTCAGGTCTGTGCATTTTGCCAAGTACGAGGTGAATGGTTATTTATCTCTTTCAGCGACTGCTTTGTGTTGAACTTTCTTTCTTCCCTCTGGAAATATCAAGCTCCCTGGCCACTGCCTGGGGCCCTGTGTACTAACCATGGGGGACTGAGACCTCCCTTTCAACCGCCCGACTCAGCTCTCGCTCCCTTGCCCTGGTTTATGCCCTGTGGCACGATTCTCCCGATGTGTGGCACGATTCTCCCCATGTGTGTGTTCTTCGCAGCCGTCGGCCTAGCTGCAACCAGAGAAGGGCCTTGGACCAGATGTTCCAGGTGTTTATTTTATTGGGGATTTGAGTTTCATTGTAAAATGTCCCAAGGGGAAGAGCCTTTGACCTCTGAAAGGTCTCCTTTTTCACAACATCCAGAGCGCATGAAACCACATGTTCATGGCAGATCAGGTGGGGACAGTGGGGGCTGTGAAACCACGCGACAGTTCCAGCTGACTACTGTTGTGCGAGGTGTAGCCGCTGTCACCAGACTTCCTGTTTATTCAAGATGAACCGAAACATCAGCACCCACTCAAAGGGCTCTGCTAAACACAGCGGGGACCCCCGAGGAGCTTGAAGGTTACAGGCAGCAGAGACCACAGGGTAAGGTACACAGTCTGCCTCATCCAGGGGTTTTATGAGTGAACTTTGGCCATTTATGAAGCCACACCCCAAATCCCTACTGAGTGAATTTCCCGGCAGCTTTGGGACATTTTCTCCTGGCAAACGGTCCAGGTTTCGCTGCTCTCTCACAACATCTTCTATTTCTGTCTTCTAAATGCATTTACAAGTCTTCAGGCCCCAGCTGAGCAATCACAAGGCGATCACTTACTCCAACACTAATTGCCAAGCCCTGGCTTGGCGGCTATTTCTTACATTCTCCCTCCTCCCCCTTTTTAAAGGGGAAATGGCTGAGAAGATGTTTCTTCTCCCCTCTGTCCAGAATAAGAAGCAGGAAGTGATATTCTTACCCACGTCACCTCAGTCATCTGATGGGGGCAACACAACTGTCCCTCATCTCTGAAGCTGTCCCTGTCACCAGTATAATTAATTCTTCCCCACATCAGAAAATGAGCCTATGATGTCAAGGTCAAATTTTGGCAGCAAGCATGATGGGACATCAGCACCCTAGGGTTTCCTAAAGTCTATGAGTGACTGCGTCCTATTGACTGCTTCAGTTTTCTCCTCTCTTTTGCTGGGTATGAACAAGTGAGATATTGGTGAATGCACATTCAGAAAGACCGTTCTGAAGGGCTCGATTTTATTTTTAACCTTCTTGCTTAGATCAAGGAGCCTCAAGGGTAAGGACTTTGCAGCTTGGTAATGGGAACATTGGCTTGCTGAGCTGTAAACTGAGCATAAGGGCAGGGTCTGTTTTAGGCACAGACTACATGACTGATGTCCCGTACGGCTTTTAGCCCAGCAAGTAGAGTTCAGAAATGATGCTTACTGATGATAATGTGTTCTGCTGTTGCTGATCCCAGGACCCAAAGGGAGGGACAAGATGGTCTCAGTGACTTCCCTGACCTGTCTTTATCCTGGCATAACTGGATTTCTGTTCTATGCCTTCCATCTACCCTATGCCTGCAATACACCTGTTTTCAATATCTGCCATCTGCTTTCCTTGAATATGGATGAGTCAACCTGGATACAATTCTTTCTTCTCTCTCCTTAGTCCCTTCTGCTCTCAACTCTATGTAGACCACTCTAAGTGATGCTCATCCCAGGTAAGACCTCAGCAATGGATGAGTCCAAAACTTTCTTAGTTCTAAACGTTTAGAGGACACGTCTATGAACATTGAATGAGGATGATCCCCCAGTCTTCTGAGACCCGCTTCTGGAGCTGGTTCTTTTTTTCCCCCTTTAAGAAAGTTGTTTTCTGTAGCATAGCTCACACACAAGTTGGATCTCTGAGGGGGTGGTCCTCCTTAGCAGAGTAATGTGGATGCCGTCTATGAACTGTTCTCCAGTGATGGCGTTTCCTTTCATCTTAGAGCACTTCCTGGTTTCCAGGGAACCTTCACGTACTTCATCTCCCAAAGTTCTCATCGTCCTCCTGGTGGCTGGTGTAGTAGGAAGCTTTATTTCATAGGTGCAGGGAGAAGAGCCGAAATAGAGGCTTGCCTGGGTTCTTGGGTTCTCTTCCCAGGAATCTTCCTATGATACCTACTGTTAAGAGAGCCAACAGCAACAACACACCGATCAACCAAACCAGCCCTGCCCCCTCCCCGCAAAAACCTGAGATGCTTAGCAAATGACAAGTCTCGAGGGGAGAGGTTGCTTAGCCGGTAAAGAGCTTGCTGCATTTGATCTTCAGAACCCATCTGAAAAAGCAGGTTTTGTAATCCTGGCACCGGGGAGGCAGAGACAGGCTTGTGTTTCCTGGCCAGCCAGTCCAGCGAGATCAGCCATCCCAAGCCAGTGACAGAGCCTGTCTCATGAAAACCATAGAAGTGGCTCCTGAGGAAAGACATATGGAGCTGGCCTCTGGCCTTCACATGCACACAGGTGTATGTACACACAAACACACGCTCATGCACATACACGAGTGCACACGCATACTCAAAAAAACAAGAGGGAAAGGCTAATTAATACTCATTAAGAATTTACTATGAGCCAAGGAATGGACCTAGAGCTTCTGCAGAGTTGGGCTCACTTTACTCTGCCTAGTGTCTACCTGAGAGCTCCTTTGTCCCCATTTCGTAGATGAGCACACTGAGTCCCACAAGACACTGTTGGTTTCTCCTAAGGTCCTACCGTAAGCTAGTGGAGGAGTCAGGCTGAGGATGCCAATCCCTTTGACTCTGAAGTCTGTGTACTTTCTCACATCCCCCAGTGTTTCTCCCCTCTGTTTTCTTAGCAAGTACTTCTGATGGGAGGGATGCAGGGTCTTTAAAGTTTTATTAGAGAGCCGCAATTTCTCCCTGGAGATTTAGCACCATCCAGCCTCAAAGAGCTTGCTTGAGAAAGCTGTTTAGTTTCCTTCCCTATTCAGGTCGGATCCTGTACCAATGGTTGCATTACTAACTGAATATCTTTATTGTGAAAGATTTCTTAGCATCAGCCTATGGCCTACTTATTTCTAAGAATATTGAATGTAAGATTCCAGCAAGCCAAAAGAATTTCTTTATTCCCTCGGAATTGGTTGTGGTGGGATCTCTCATGTTTAGTTGCTGTAAGCAGAAATTCGCTGGATCTGTTCAGCTGGGAATCCTGGCTCCCTCCCGGCTGCCAGATATTAGGGCAGGATAAGGCTCGAATGCCTGGATTTGGTCAGCGGTGCTTAGGTGGATAGGGATAAAGGACATGGCTGGAGGCCCCACCCTCCTGGGCACTGGCTGGACCGTGTGCAATTCATTTCTCCTCAGGGAGCAGGGATGAAAACATGGAGAGGCTGATTTATTATGTATTACAAATCACTAGAGGTTGAAATAGCCCGATTTTGGACTCCAGGCTGATAGGCTGATATTTTAATAATAAACGTTTACCTCCCTTCCTGCCCCTTACCTCTGCACTTAGACTTTTTTTTCTGAGTCTCATTGGGGTTGGTGACTGGCACACTTGTCCCCTTACTGCCTCCATGCAAGTGACCTTCCTTCTCTCTTCTGTGTGGAGGATGCAGCCATTAAATACTCTGTATTACTGATCATAGTGGACCAAGGGCTTTGGAGGGGCAAACCTGAGACTTCTACTCACTGATGCTTGGAAGGAAGTATAAGATCCTCTCCTACTTACATGACGGTTCTGAACCTTCCGTAAGACAAAGCACACAAAAAGCTGAACTCAGCACATTTTGAAAGGCTCAGTGCCCCCTCCCCCTTTGTGGGCTGGTTTCCAGTTTCAGAGATTACAGATAGTTAACCTGGAAGAGCTGCTAGAACCAATTCTCCAATTCAGATTCTTATCCCTGCTCCCACCCTC